TCATAGACGATCATTATCTGTCAAAAAGTGTTTCAGTTAATCCTTCTAGGGCTTTTATACTCTGTCAATCAGTTGGTCTGGCAACCAATAAAGCAAACAGTCTGGACATAAATAAGCCCATTAGTTTCCAACAAAAATCAGCTCTATAGCCTTTAATCAATCGTGTTAAAGTGGAATATATTTTATATATATTATATATTAGATTAAATTATATTTTTATGATATATATTTAAAAGTGTCACACTATTTAGAGACAAAGAAAATATATATATTATAAATTAAATTATATTAAATTATATTTTTATGATATACATTTAAAAGTGTCACACAATTTAGAGACTTGGAAAATATTTTTAAATTTTTAAATGATGTTCAGACTGAATAAAAAATAAATAAAAGTAAAATAAATAAATATAATTTTTATAAAAATTCCAAAAATCATTAAAAATCTATAAAAAATAAATCTCACTCTGTACTTCAAGAACAGCCCTCTGCGAAAAAAAAGAATCCCTCTCGATGGCCAGTGCAACGTTGCAATATAATTAAAAATTTGCTAGTTACTCTGGCGTCGATCAATGCAAGTTCATACATAGAATGACAGCGCAAGTGACGCGTGTAAGTTGCGCTTACAAGAAACTGTAGAGAAGTGTAAAGAAGTGGCAAGAAAGAGAAGAAAAACAGAAAGAAAGTCAAGGCTGGAGCAGGAGCAAGTTTTCAGCGTGCTGCTGGCAGAGCCACAAAAACTGAACTTGGTTATAATTTTTGTCAAAATGCAACGTTTCAATATGGCCACCAGGGAGAAGCAAACGATATGCACAAGTGTGTGTGTGCAGGTGTGTGTGTTGGTGTGTGTGTGTGTGTGGGTGCAGGTGTGTGTGTTGGTGTGTGCAGTGTGCTGCATATTGATGACGTGATTTGCATTTGAATATGCGGCCAACGTGACGTTCTGCTGCCTGACATGCTGCTCAATTGTAGCTGTTGTTGTTGTTGTTATTGCTGTTGTTGTTGTTGTTGTTGTTGCCTTGTGCGCTTCGTAATTTTCACACGTTGATAAACTTGTTTTACCGCTGCACAGCTGCCGCATGTTGCAGCTGCTGCCGTGCCTCATCATTGGCTGCGTCCAGGTGAATTTGGTTTGCCTCCCCACCCCCACCCTGGCACCACCACCCCTACCAGCAATATTTTTTCATTGTTACCAAATGCGTTTAATTGGCAAAAATGGCTGCTGTTGCTGCTCGTTGCCAGCCAAGTTTGTTGCATAATTTTTGCAGGTGCTGCTGCTGCTGC